ACGCGATATGAGAGACAATCAAGTTGTTGCCCAACAGAATGCAAAAATCTGAGCTCGTAACAACAGGATATTTGCTTTCAAGAATTTCAGTACAACACATTATTTAATGTAGTTGCATTTATTGCCAAGAAATAAAACGATTGATTTGAATCGGAACTTTTGCGTTCTGATGAATGACTTGATCCATCGCAAGTAAAGTGAGGGCGAAAAGGATCAGAATAAACATTCAAACACAGTATCAAAAATTTATATATATATATATATACTTATTAGCGAAAAAAAAGTAAAGTTACCTCCATAAAGAGAGTTGATATCTATGGAATTTTGTAAGTCATCATCTTCAATATCTCCGAAGTGAAGCTCTTCGACATGTGCATCTTTCTGAACTTGGCCAGCCTGAACGCATATTTTTCGGACATACAGAAAATTTCCCATAACAACAACGAAAATTCCTACTGAAGTGATATTAGTCATATCCTTTCCAAGCGTAGTTCCTGCAGAACATCTTTCATCTCCAGCACTGTTTGGCGGAATGTTCTCTTTGTTTTCTAGTTCATCTTCAATATCACAGTCGTCATAGGCATTGCCAACACCATCGTGTTCTTCATCGTAAACGGCTGAAAGATGTTTTTCTTTTTGTATTAGTATATTTGCCCTATTCGCTGCTAAATATAATGTTTCGAAGATTTTGAAATGCAGACAAGAAGAAAACCATTTCAAGCAATAGGACTAAGAACTGAGATGAAATTACAGCATCAAACATAAAGTGCTAAGGTGTTAAGCTGTACTAGAGGTAACGGCTTTGCTTCAGTTTGACCGTACACATCTACAAAATTGTTGCTGTCATCCGGATATTTAGTCCAATCGCTTCATACAGTACTAAGGTCGTAAACCAAAGAACCTTCAAAACCTTCAAAACCACGAGGAAATGTCGCAACTTATGATTTATATGAATGCGCTTGATAGGAATGTGGAAGATAAGAATAACAAATTGCAAATGATGGAGAGATTCATTAAAACCATTCGTATGTACTGCATAGCTAGAGCTAATACCGCATTTGAGTTTTTAGGTCAAGACACTTGCCTTCTGGCAACCGCCTGGCCTTCGCTTTCCGCTCACGCTTTGCTTCAGCTCTTCTCTTCGTGACAGCGATAATGAATCGGTACAAAGCATCTGATTGCTAAATGACTAGTAGTGCACAGATAACTGAAGAAGGGGAGAGATTGATCTACCCAATCGTCAGCTTTGGTGTTTCTATGCTTTTTGCGCATATAAAAGTGTTCTCTGACGTAATCGTTGGTTTGCATAGTTTGCTTCTCTAACGTCATTGTAGCCTTCTCTGCCTGAAAAATAGCTAAGAAAATATTTAGAAGAAAACAGCAAATGGAGTTCACCTTCTCCAATCTCGTCGCTATTGTTGTTCCTTTCACAAAACGCTTGATTTTGTCAATGGCTTTCGTTTTCCATTTCAAACTCGTAAATGGATCCATCGCAAGATTTTCTGTGGGGTCATCCTCTACACTATCCTCCTCCCACTAAACACATAAGATATGGATTGCAAAAGGGTGAGAATAAACGGCATAAAAGAGATAAAAAGCATACAGGTTTAGTTCTAGCCTGTTGCTGCTCTATTCGAGTCGAACGTATGACGACATCGTCAGGCGTCGGCAAATGCAAGCTCGCTGCCGTGTCAAAATCGTCCTCATAACAGCCG